AGTTTGGAAAATAGGATAATCAAATTAGCCTCTAGCGGCAGCAGCAGGCAACGTGGTTATTTCGAGTACATAATGGATTGATTATGCGCGCGCAAAAGCTGAAGTGGTTTGTGCATTTAAATAATCGATCCGTCGAAGAGAGTCGAGTGAGTTTAAAGTTTGCCCATAGCCGTATGTTTGTTGAATTGGTTATACGCTTGACATTTTCAGCTTGTGTTTGCCGATATTATCATTCGCCAGCTATGCCCCGTAATTACAAGTGGCTAATTTTACTTATATCTAAAGTTTCAATTTCTGCACAGGCTTACATTGTGAACTTTCGAAAGAAAAATTAAAAAAAATGAATTTTACATTTAATTGTGATTGAAATCAATTTGAAAATCGTGGCCCATTCAAAAAATTTTGTTATGAGTTTACCCAGTCGTAAAAATATTGTTCGTAAAAATAACTCACTTTTACTCGGTCCGCAACTCGAACGACGGGTCCCACGTATATTAATTCCGTCAAGTTACAAATTAGATTAAGCTCGCACGCGTGACCTCACTCACTACTAAATAATCTCTTGCTAATGAGGACGTCTACAAACTTGTCCCGATTCCTCTCCATACGTCAATCCACACGAGCGGTAGTACGTTGAGATGGTCGGGGAGGTCTGATTTTGTGAGTGAGTGAGTAAAGGATATGCCCGCAGGTCAATTGAAAACGAAGAATCCTGCTGATATGCATCAACGTAGTACAGTTATTTATTGGGATGAGAAACGTACTTTTGAAAAATTCAACCAGTGAGATATTTTACGCGCAAACTTTCTCATAAAAGTCAGTTTCTTTGTCAAATTGTTCCTTTGAGATATATATTCTTTTCAACTCTCGACGGCGTATAATAGTCAGCTATCAGTTGCGTCATTATACACTCTCGAAGATAGTCCAGCGCTGGAGAAGAGCATTAAAACGCACTACATAACACACTCCCATGGAGTGTATTTGCATGCAGCATTTACAGTCCATTCGTCGGCTATCTCACGCGATGATCCTTCTCTCTCTCTCTCTCTCTTTCTCTCACTCTCTTTCTCTTTCTCTCTCTCTCTCTCTTTGAGGTGTATATCTGTTAAACCCTCCGTGGAAGAGAATATAAAGATAAGACTGCTGTACGATCAAGCTTCCATTGAGTGAATCGTCGATGCGCCAAGCGAGATATACAAGCCTTGAATTTTTTACCTGCACCTTCTCGTGAGACATCTGTTTATTCGATCTTTTTTCTCTTTCTCTCTTCTTTGTACTTGCTTATCTCATGCCAACGATTTTTCTTGCGGCCAAGAGCCCGAGGAAGAGCCATTTTTATTCTAGATACTTGTGTCTGTGTACAACATGTATATACCCTCATAAAGAGTGAGTGTACATAAATTTCGCAAGCGATAAATAGAGACGTGAATTTAATTACTCGTCGCGTCGGTTCGGCGCCTTTTACAACAACAGGACTGACAGTATCGCGATATGATACTGCGTTGGCTATGTAATTGACGTTGACTTTTTAATTGATGAGAGTTTGCCCAAAGTATAAAGAGAGAGCGAATGATAGCATCGATGAACGTTGCTTGATGTAAAATTCATTGCGACTGTTTGTGACCAATCGAATTGTCCTTTGAATGAACATCACTTTCGTTTCACAACTCAATTCAAAAAAAGACATTCGTACAATTTACACATATGTCGGAGCTATCGTGTCATTGTGTATTTATTAGTCCTTCTGACGGCTGCTTGACATGTGTATGAGTATTGGAAATACGTTTATTCAATCTGACAGAAGCAACTGTAAATATACGCGACGTATTTTTCGTTTTTTCGCATGTCTATTGACGAACAGTCGATCGCACTTTATTAGACGAAATATTTTGTTTTCAATGTCGAATTATCTTTCTCAAGCGAGAAATTGAGTTGTAAAACGAAGATGTTCATTCAAACGACAATCCAATTGCTTGCTTCAATACTTTTTATCTAACTGTACAAGGAGACAATGCCTTTTTTTTTAAACCTTTGCATTATGCGAAAAAGACTTTGTATTCATAGCGTGCGCATCACCTACCGACCTCGCTCTTTTTATTTCTACGTGCCTCGATTCATGAAAGTCTTTTTTTCCCCCGCCGGGACGCGACGTTCATGGCTCGACGAGATAAAAAAAACGAGAAGCGACGAGAAGAAAGGCAAATATTCATGGTCCTCTTTAATTTTCATGAGCTTATACATACACCCTTAAAGCTCTTCGCATCTTCCTCATCAGAGAAAAACTATTGGTCGTGTTCGAATTCGTTCGCGCATCGAAAAAAGATGAACAAAAAATACAGCAGAAGAAAAATCATTTCACACAGTCTCGCAACGCGTAATATTCCCTCCTTTTTTCGCCTTCCATTTTTTTCTCGGATGGGTTATATCGGATCGTTCGTCGTTTATCACATGCCTCGAGGGTCAGAGCCAAAAGAGAACAAGATAATTCGAATAACTGCTTACGAGGAGTCGAGTGAGAGAAAGATGCCAAGGGAGAAAAGGCACAAAGTAAATGTAAACTTAAAAATTTATGAGCCGAAAATGTTTTCCCTGGAAAACTGCATTTTGATTGGATGATTGTTTTTTCAATTTCGTTTTTGACGATGGCTATGATGAGATTAAATTAGCATCAGTATTGAACTACGCAGTACATTTAAATATCGTCAAAGATTATCAAGTTCCACGGCGGATTGTATCGTTACATTTCTGAAAATACTTATCAAAAAGATTATAAAAATAATGTTTTTAGAAGTGAAAAAAAAGTCGAGCAGATCAATTTGATAATACATTCATGTTAGTTTTATTCTTTACGTATTGCATGGATGTAGTGAACTTGTACTATTCATTCACTTTGATGAGGTAACGTTGAACTCTCAAACAGACGACGTTCATAAAGGTAATACTTGTGTTTCACGATCAGCATTGCATCGAACAAGTTTGGAACATTGCGCAATGTCAAAGTTCGTAAGTGAGAAGAAAAAAAAAGAAATGGCTCGACCGCATGTAGCAACAGCGAGAATGCCATCGGCACGAATGCGTTTATTCCGTAGCCACTGGCTACTGGACCTTTGCCGCGAAATCTCTCTTGCAGCAACCTCGCGAGAATAGTTTCGGCACATAGTTCCTCTTCTCTCTCTCCGTGATTCGGACAGCCCAGTTTGTCAGTCAAGCATCTCTCCAAGCTTCAAATCAAAGTGAAACTACGGGAACTCGCAAGAGTTAAGGTTCGATCCCGGAGTGAAAAATTGTCTTACACGAGAGAGAAAAAAAAAGTAAACAAGTACAATTGTAAACTGTACGCGTGCAAGAACGTCACTTGCACGACGACGACAGAGCCAAGAGATTATCGGGATTTTCGAGAATTGTTTTTCGTGCGTTTCGACGTTGTTGCGCAAATATTTGCCAACGCTGGCATTGAATGTTCGCCGGCTGGTAGGGTGATTAACCAGCTGGTTTTATGATCGGTATTCCCGGCATTTTTTGATGAGCATTAAGTGGAGTTTGGAGCGATCGCTGAGCGCCCTTTGTATCCGGCAATAAATTAATTTATATTCGCAAATGCGAGAGAGCAAAAAGGAGAGCTTGCTTGGCAATAGAACAATCGTTGTTTACACTCGAACGAGTTCCCGGCGCTACACGCGCGGGGTGTGAATGTATGTCGCCATCAGCTACGAATTTGCGCGTGCTCGAGCGAGTGAAATAATACGCAGCGAAGCGGCAAACCATTTTGACAGTCGCATAGCTTTTTCGCCGGCGCCGTCGGCGTAAAAATATTCGCTCGTCTCCTTTTTTTCTCCTCTAACCGTGACGACGAGCGAGAGGGGGAAAAAAGCAGAGTATATGTATATACATATACATATCCTGGTCTCGACTCTTGATCCTGCAGACGTGCGCGAAAACGATCCCGAATGCAAAACATTCACGTTTTCAGTGCACGGTATGAAATCAAGGCAGCGATGACAAATTCAGCGGAAAGCTAGTGTGTGTATGTGTGTGTGCGCACGTACGTATGTGTGTGCGTGTGTGGCTGGATATCGAGCGCGTGAATATCTAAAACGAAGAAAATCTGCGCGCGAAAGAGATGTCACATTAGAGAATGTCTCTTGTCTCGCGCTGCTGCTGCTAGACAAAGCGAAAAATCCAAATGATACCGGGAATGCGAAGAGAGCATATGTGTGTGCGTGTACGCTCGAGGGCATTTTAATAATTCTTGAACGAATAAAATGAAGAATGCGAGCACGACTGAGAAATTTTTTCGCTGCGACGACGACACCGTAAGCTCATATCTCGTTTGATAAACAGCGCTCAGCTGAAAATGCGCGCCGAGCACTTTAATACTTTCTCTCTTTTTTCTGCCGCACCAGCCCTCCTTCACTGCTGCTGCCACTGCTGATAACATTTCATACTGCATATGTCTACTTTGCGCTACTACGAGGCCCACTCACAAGTTATCGGATTTACGTTTTCGATTAGTTTTTGACGAAACAAATTCCTTTTATTTTTTTTTCTGCTAATGTAGCTTGCGACGTATGGGGCGCGCGTTCGACGTACGCCTTTTGTAAATAAGTCTCTTTGTATGCAGATTAAATGTGAATTTCCAGTTTGTGCACGAATAATATTTATTATAAATCGTTGTGAATTGTATATATACACGTAATTCGCGTTGAGAACATTCTATAGCTTCGTAAAAAAAATTGTTCAATTAAATTTTCTTTTGACTGACTGTAACGGATTTCATGATTGTCCGTATGCTTCGATCGCCAAAAGTTTGTAAAGCTACGTCCAATTAGAGTTTATGATTTAAAAAATAAAATATTTCAATGTGAAATGAAACGCTTCGCAATATTGACCACTCAACAAAAGTGCCTCAATCCCCGAAAAAATAAATAAGCAAATGTTTTTTGAGTGCGTTAAATAGATAAAGTTGGAAAAATAAATGCATTCGTAAAATCATTACTTACCTCGGTCAAGTGATGTTGCAAGTAAAATTGTTGGCAGGATGAGAATGACCATTGACCACGACAATCGGTCCTTCATACTTGCGAATCGAAAAGTATTTCTGAAAAACAAATCAATGTTATACAATATTCATCGCTAATCAAATTTATCGTCGTACTAATAATTGTACAGTTTAACGATTTCTGAGAATCGGTTTAGTGATGAAATCCACTGATCAAGTCATATCACATCGACCCTCATAACTTCAATTATGGCGGCAGTCGATGAACTGCGTCGTATAGTACATCATTTAAAGGTAATGTAAGATCTCTTAAAGACGATAGTAATTGTATTAATGCTATAAATCCCTGATAACTTCCAATTTTTAGGAAGATAATTTTCTCTCTAAATATAAGATATAAGCCAACAGATCGAATCGATCGGCTAATGCTATATAAAAATAAATTGCCATGATATATATATATATATATAAAAATGAGAAGTACGCGAATACATAAAAAGCTCAAGTGAGGATGAGCGATGCCAAGCCTTGTATTCCAACAAAACTTGCTTGGAAATAAACGTTGCTTTGGCCTGATAAAATAAAATTCACCCTTCTCGGCAACGGCGGTGTCCAAGTAATACGGTCAACAGCAAATTAGAGAAATTACGGAAAAACCAATGTCGAGGAACCCCTCCCCCTTCTTTCTCTCTAATCCATGGTATTGCAGGTTGGCTAAACAAAGTTACAGGTAATTTGAAATGCGGAATTGAATGTCGCGTGTATACACGTCGGATAAGGAAACTCTCCGCATTTTATTTCTTTGTGGCGCTATCTTCCGACCAAACACACGAAAGAAATACCCGCTGGAGATTTCATCAGCTTTCTGATTAATAATATGGATGTACAATCGAGTACGATGACTCATCGGCGTATTTTACACAAGGTTGAAGCCATACCAGTATCTCTCTGTCGACGATGGAGGGAAACAATCGGCTACTCGTGGAAACGAGATTTTTATTCAAGAAAGTTTGAGAGAACGAGAGAAGCGCTGGATTATGATAATAGCCAAGTAAAGAACACTTTCTTAACGAGATTCCCCGTTTACCTAATTAATTCTCAAGCTCGCGCGCTACTTTCTTCCCATGCAAACGTTCGCGCGAGCGCACGTGACTAAACGCAATCTCGCGTGAAAATGTATATTGCTTCTCCATCTCTTTTTTCCTTGAATGCGATTATCACTGCGAAATTACTATTCTAGACGTGCGTTTGTTGAAAGCTTCTTTTATGAGGACGAACGGAATGGCATTTTGTCGGTGTTTCAGTTTGCTACGCATCTACAGACAAAATATCGTTTCTATTTTTTCATCTTCATAATAGACGCGTTCTCAATACTACGCAGAGCGAAAGCATTGTACTTGCCTCGATAAAGCCTATAGTTGGACACGGGAGAATGTATATTCATGAATTATTGTTATTTTTAAGTAGGTCAATATTTTAGCGAACGAATGGCTGTTAATTTAAGTAATCAGATTACTCGGTGCGCACAAATGCATTTATAGGATAACGCTTGCTTGGATTATTGTCATGACATCATCATATCAAATATTATTGCTGTTGTCATCAGGATATTATAATCTCAATGAATTGCATATCCGACGTGCACGTATTTATTTTGCAACGAGTTCAATATTTCAAATTGTTTGTAATATGTTAATAGTAAGCATGGCATAAGCATGTGCAATATGATACACTGCCAATAGGAAAGCTCGAAATTATACAATGGAATTATACATTTCAGAATGGAAGCGAATTAATTGTTAGTTATTTAACGCTTACCAATTTGTTTTTACGAAAGACTAAAGTTTATGGATCGTTCGGGAATAGTTCCACAAATTTTCCGGAGAAAATTCGGCTCATAATTCATGAATTGTGGTACAAAAATTGTCAGACGCTTGAACTGCTAGATCCGTGAAAAATCGTAAAATTAAGAATTTTACTGACCGTTAGCGTGGTAATTTTTTGAGTTTAGTTTTCTTTCATTCAAATATTTTCTATAAATGTATAGTTATAATTTCGAATTCTCTTGAACATATTTTTTATAAAAAACGAATGTTCAAAAAGAAACAGAAATTTCATAAATCCGTTGACAAAATGCTGCTGTAAATATGAATAAATCGAGTAAAATATCTACATTATTTTTTTCAAGCTTTATAAGATCGTTTGAATTTCCTTCAGAACTCTTTTGAAAAGACTTACATTGAAACAGTTCCTCTCAACGATATCAAGCGATAATTACGGGATACAACGTAAACTTGAACGAGCGATATGTGAAACGCGAAGTTTTCGCGAAACTGAGTAACATTTTGACTCAATGAGCATGTAGAAGTCCGAGATATATCTCACGTTTATCTTGCGGTCGACCAACTGGAACACGATAATAGCTTTTCGCGAGGGCGAGCCACACACGCGTCCTCGATATATTATCTCCGCGGACGAGCTCTCATACACACAATATGGAATACGGTCGCATCTCAAGCGCGACTATTGAAAATATCATGCGTGAAACGCTTGACGAGTTATAATAGGCTTTGTACATCGGCAGCATTGCGTAAAGCTTTTGAGAGATGCACGAGTTCACAGTTAGTTTTGATGCACGGCGCAAGAGTGGCATTGAAGACCGAACAGTAGACATCTGTTTGAGCTCTCAAGCAAGTTTTTCCTTTTCAGCGGAATTATTGAGCTTTTGCATTCTTGATGGATTTTCATTTTTCGCGCGACCCATCGTTAACGCTATATGGATGAGAAAAAGTGACAACTGCATTTACTCTTTGTCAATAAATACGCATTTCATGCAATGATATTGCTTCTTCTACTCGAACATTTGTAATGTAAGTTAACCGTAAACCCAGATATTCCGCAACAGTCCTTCGCTCTAATAATAATAATAATAATAATAATAATAATAATTTTGCATTGCGCTAATAGTTAAATGCTCAACGAAACACAAGCATCATAATTATACGGCAGTAAAACGTCTTCAAACGTCGCATCGTAAGAAAAAAGAAAAAGGAAAAAGTCCCATAATATCTTCGCGTGAGAGGAAGTGCAGGGGCACGCAGACGGGCTAAGACGCTGGGATCAAGAGGGCAGAGAAGGTTTCGGGGTGGAGGGTTTCATTGCTGTGAATGCATAGGTCAGCGGGCAAAAGCCGCTCAAGAGCCAACGGGGCCCGGGGAATACGTTATTAGTGCCGGCTGGCAGAGCCGGCCGCCGTAAATAATTCGAGCATGAGATCGCCCGAGCTGCGGAACGCTACTATGCCAGCAGTAGCAGCGATGCATATTTCAGGACCACCGAGAGACGAATCTCCACTGCGAGCTTGCAAGCATGTACTTTCAAAAAAATATCCCTTGCTGATTTTGTGTTTGTTTTTCTCTTCGTGTTGCGATAAGCTGCAATCGTCAGACTCGCGTATCATAGATAAACGATGAAATTGCTAGCTGTTACGGTTTAATTATGTCGGCTTGGACGATCGTTATATGAACGCGAATCTTTCCTAATGAATCGTACACGGGGACACGTGAGTTTTTTTAAATTACCGGGTCTTTTAAAGATTCATCGTCACTGCTGCTGTCGATGCTGCAGGTGTGTAGTTGTATAGTAATGCCGTTCGTGTACAGATAAATAATTCATTGACATGGATCTGTTGGAGCGAGGGTTTAAAAATGTATGCGAACACCTCTGTCTGACGGCAGTTATGTGAGACATTGTTGTTTCTGCGTCAGACGATAATTGCTTAAAATCGGATTACTTTGAACAAGAGATCAAATTAATGTCTATCGTAAAAAATTACAGATTAGTTCCGAATAAACGTTGCCGAAGAAACCACTCGATGAGAAACGACAATATCCGATACGCGTAATGTAAGTTCTTGTATACGCGTGAAAAGTCCCAATAAACGATGATGAGGTGTCTGTCCGTGTTTTTTCTTTCATAAAAAATACAATGATGTAGATGTATAATATGGGATGTCAGGTGTTCACGGCAGAACTTATAAATCAAAAAATAATTGTCGTTTGCTACGTATTCGACGGTGAAAAGCAAAAGAGATAAGACGTAAGGACATTGTGTGCGAGACTTGTAAGTATCGTATATTCGAACTCTTTTGTCGAATGTTGACGTAACCCTAAGGTGTATTGCTTGGTAGCAAAGTGTTGAAACTCATTGGTCTGTGTAACTGTAAGAATGAATATTCTCAGAAACGTTACTGAGACAGATAAGAGTTATTTTATTTTTTAGTTCATACCGCTGTAATTTAGTCGCAACCACAACACATGGTTAGCGTGAAAGCTCGCAAACCATCCAGATTAAAAAAAATTAGGGGCAACAATTTTTAATTTTATCGTAAACTTTACGTATTTTATTTCCTGAGAATTCGTAATTATAGCGAGAGAATTGCAAAAAAATTTTCTGTAAACATCGCTCGCTTTTGTTTTGTCAGAAAGAACATGTGCATTTGATGGATGGGAATTCTTTTTCAGAAGTAGCGGTACGGCGTACGTATAGTTGCAGATGGCAAAAATTGGGAATCTAGAAATTGTTTGAATTGTCGAGCGAATCGTTGTGTAGTGCTCGTTACAGAAAAAATGTACAATGGACTGTAGTAACGGAAATCGCTTTCAGAAATAATTTAGTTAATTTATCAAATGAATGATGTGTTTTATTTTTATTTTATTTTCGAATTTTCACACAGTTTAATGGGCAAGATTCCGTTGATTAGATATGGCTTGAATTTCATACATATGTCTAATATATAAAGATTCTGAGATTAAATTGTTTCTTAATTTTTATTTAAATATAAAGATACAATCGAAAGTACTCTAATGATGATCAAACAAGTTTAGATTATAACCAAAGTTTTTACGTTACTTGTCTCATTGTACTCTATAAGAAATAATAATTTTCTACGCAAAATTATATTACTTTTAATATATTTCAAAAATAGATTTTTTCTCACCGGAAATTCAAAGTAAAAACATTGCTTTTCGTAGCCTTTTTCTCGTGTTACTCGGCATCAACTTATTTTTATGAAGTATTTTAAACATCAAATAA